ATGGGAGGACCGCACTGCCGTGTTCATAAGGCAACAAGCGGCGCACCCACAGCGGAAATACGGCACACCAGGTCGCGAAGCCCCCGACGGGAGGCGCAGCCACGGCCAACAACGTGGGCACCCGAGAGGCCACCACCCCGGCCGCTGATGGAGAGGCTGGTACCGGCGCTAAGGGCAACGACCAGGCTACCACCAACAACCGCCTTCAACCCGCCGCCACCGCCGACACCAAGGACCGCCGCACCAACACCACCTGCAGCCACGATGAACGCCCGCCAACGCCGGAACCTGCAGCGGAAGCGGGACTACAAGGCCAAACAACAACAAACGTCCCAGCGACACCCGCGCCTGGAACCGTCGGCCGGCCGTCCGGTGAACCGGATTGTCAAGACTCTCTCTCTCGTCCTCACGACATCGACCCGGATACACCTCCGTAATCCACACACGTCCCCGTGTAATCGATACCGTTGAAACTCTGTCATTATATTATATTGAATGTTTTTTTTTTTTTTTTTGTTGACTCGTGTCATTGATAGCAATAAACAGTCAATAACACTTCAGTGCGTCGTTCGTTGTTTATTTTGTTGTTCATCTTTTATTTGTCAGTTCGTTTGTTTGTTCCGACATGATTTGTGGTCACCATCACATCACCGTCCACGCGGCACCACAATAGGCCGCGTCAAACCAATGCACGATTTACCGGATAAGCTAGTGGCTAGTCGAATGTATTGTTACAATGTAATGTATATGTCAGTGTTGACAATTGCAACAATAATGATAGACCTAAAAAAACACAGGATGCTAAATTAGAACTTGGGAATGCTAAAGACCCTCTTTCACCCCCCTAGTTATGCCAATGGTTTCTAAAAATAAAAATAATGAAACAAATTAAATTACTCATTAAATTTTAAACAATATTCTTCAGCTAATAAAATCACAATAATATAAGAGTTAGGTACTTTACCAATGTAAATAAAAAATGATAATATTCTGACTTGTTTAAACTTTTAAAGTATTGTAAAAGGTTTGAAGTATATAATGGTTATAGTTCAGCAGAAGTATGTTTCAAACAATACATTTTACTTGATGAAATTTTGTTCTTATGATTCATTACTGACCTCAGATCTATACATTTACTAAATATTTAAATCATGAATAACCAAATTGTGCATTATATTCTAAATACCTATGTGATTTTAATCACTTATATTTTCCTAAAAATATAACGCATAATAATAATAATTATGTTAAACATAAAAATGAATATATAAATATAAAACATTTTATCAGAGTTAGAATATTTAGTTTTTGTGAGTCTGTTTTTCAGGTTTCATTTCACAATATTTCAATAATCACATTATACTATTAGATATAATTTTTATAAAAATGTTATATTAATTGTAAAGCTTAAAAAAATTGAATACATTTGACCATTCTGTAGAAAAAACTCAATCTAATTTAGTTTTAAGTAATTTAAATTTTTTTGAATACCTCAACAAGTGTATATTCTTATAAATCTTAAAGTTATTTCTAATTATAAGATTGTGTCTTCTAATGTACTGTTTTAAATAGAAAATATTAAAACATGTGGCGATATTAATGTGCCTATAACCATAGGCAATAATAATAAATACATATATTTTATTATGTAAATTGCATGGACACTGAAAAATCTTGACTATTAAACTATAAAATAGTATGGTATCGCTTGTTTTCGCTCCACCTTTTCGTTTTAATGACAGTAAGAAATTAAAGTAAAGAAAATCTATGACAGTCAAGATTTCATAGCATAGAAGCAAAAAAACTAAAAAGTACAAGGAAAAAATCACGATTGGAACCAGGGGGCAAGGACTGGAACCATACCGAAATAGAACAGTTATGGAACGAAACCTTTCTTAAATCTGGGGACCGGAACCTTTCGATACATTTTTTAGGATCTGAAAAGATTCTTTTTAGAATTTAAATTGAAATGGTGTCCGTTAGTAAATAACATAATATAAGATTATCTTTGGACGATTAATTTATAAATATCATCCATAATATAATTAGGTATACAAATATATACCTGTTATATACTGCAGATGTCTATATAGGTACCTACATATTCTATTAATTACTATAATTATTAGGTACTATACAGACATATACCTGTATATTACTTTTAGTCATTAATAAATACTAATTCATATTCTAATAGCATGGACGATTGTGCACTGTGCAGGAGGCAACGAGATTTTTTTCCTACTAAGTTTATAGTATGATTTTGTTCTGCGATTGATAACTCATTATTAAACTATTCGATGGTCATTACTATACGACTTGTTCGATATTAATATATTATAATTTATAATGACGGCTTTTATTCTTAGTTATTTATTGCTCACTTCAAGTACCTATACAATATTCACAAATATTTGGCATCATCAACGTTATAGCATCATATATAAATAAACGGACGACAGATTCACGATACCAGAAGAAACAAGCATTCAAGCCAGAGACACCCAAATTCAAATACATGCTCCAGTCATAACAACCCATTTTTATTTTAATAAAACTACAATTTAAAATAACCACAACCGAAATACATCGTAACATTCAAATAAATCAGATAATTGAGTTAATTGTTTTGGTCAGCCCAGGTAACACCCCTAAAAAATTGTGATCTTCTAACTTCTTTCTTATTCACAAATAGCAATTGTTAAACAAAAACTCTTATCGGGTGAAAAAAGTGCAGAAGGAGTATTTATCTAGTAGTGTGTCTAATGTTTTTGATTACAATATGATAAAAGTATAAAAAAAAGTTTGTAAAGAAATGTTGATTTAGGGTGTCTATAGTCATTACTCATTGGTTATCTCACTCATCGGGGTCAGATGTTAATCAGGAGTAAAAGTTAAAAAAAAACCCCGAAAAAAACCATTATAATATTAAAGACCCACATTTTATTGTTCGACTTTCAAACATTTGAAAAATTCTAAGACTGGAATAAAAAAATTTCGGTTTTTACTCATTGGACTAATAAGTTTAAAAGAAAGTGTAAGCTCGGTCTATATTGTAAATTTTACAGATGTCTTTATTAAAGTAAGTCGATATAATTTGACAGGTATATAATACGTAGGTATCTAAAAAGACGTCATACAATTTAAATGTTAAATATAATTATATAGGTTGATAATATTAAAATATTAAATCTATGTTAAACTTACCTATAATTTATTTTGTTCTGAAGACCACGAGTTATTGTTGTACCTACTTGATCGATCACATATTTTAATAGCGTTTTTTGTTTGACGGGATGGTCCTAGCGGCCGTTATATCCGAAGAAGAAGAAGATGAAGATCTAATTTTTAATCTATTAGATGCTAATATGTGATGCTCTGCGCAGAGCTAGGAGAAAATATTTACCTATTTAAGTGCCATAAAATAATTAATCCCCATTAAATTGTCTGCGGTTCAATCTGTGATCGATTTAAGAAATTAAAATATATACTTATTATATTATTCTATCTATGTATACGATATGACCGTATCTGGACCAGACGACCTATGAAGGCTGTAATCGCGTAGTTAAATAAGAGTCAGTTATAATCAGAGATTGAAATGTTCAGAATCAACCGTTATTTTTCAGATATATATGATAAAATTAAATATTATTAAACAACTATATTTATTAATGAAATATATATTTATATTATACATACCTATATGATATTGTGATTAAATACGCGTCCTAAGTAGTAATAGATTAATTGTACAATATAATTAGGGTACCTATTAATTAATATTATTTATGTTAAAGAGGTCAAAGTCGATGCATTAGAATTAATGTATTGTTTATTAAAATATTTTTTATTAAATATAGATTTTTAACAAATATAAATTCTTAATAACGGCCAAGCGCCAAACGTAAAAGTGTCCCTGTGTCAGTCATTTTTTTTATCGATCCTGTCCACGTATGGTTGTCGTTCTGAGCATTCCGCTTTGAACGGCAATCGCAAACTGTGACGTACAGCACAAAACCAGATACGTTTTTCAACTAATTTTTTTAAGTTCGTCTTCTTAGGCGATTTAAAAAAAAAAAAAAACAATGTTAATAAATTTTATTTTTTTTTTTAGTTCAAAATTACATTTATTCATTATCTTATGAATTGTTCAAACTAAAATAAAAAAATAAAATTTATTAACATTGTTTTTTTTTTAAATCGCCTAAGGAGACGAACTTAAAAAAAATAGTTGCTATATGGGAAGAGGATCCTACCAAAAGTAGGTACTAAAAATATCACTAGAAGATATCATGATGTGCTAAAAATTTAAGCCATAAAGTTGATGAATAATTCAAAAACATAATATCAATCAATGAAATATCCGTAACTCGGTTTTTTTTTGACATAGGAATTTGATTTTACCATTAAAATTCATAAAAAAAATAAGAGTAAAAATAGTTAGCCAAAAAATAGTGGGGTTGCCATTTAAAAAAAAAAGTTGTTATGCGCATGCGCGAAATTAAATAGCAAAAAAATTGTTTAATTACCTTAATAAGTTATAACAAACTTTATTAAGCACCACAAACAAACAGAATTCAAATATATTTAATATTTGTAAAGTTATAGTGTTTCCAACAACCGATTACACGCACTGTATATATATATATACATATTATACATATTACATTTACATATAAGTCCAGACTTGGGAGATACACAATAGTTATGTCTATAAATTAGAAACATCGTACAGTCTAAGGCCCACTTTCTCGACTTCTAGTTAAGGAATTTTAACCGCCAGATAGCACTAACTGTAGGTTAAATTTCATTCGTCAATTTCTCAACTGCCAGTTAGTGCTACCTAACAGATAAAGTGCCGAATAACTTATTCGGTACAAATTTTACCGGATAAGTTTGTAACTGGCAGTTTAATACTTTAATATCAGTTTATCTGTTTATCACCTCGCCTATTTTTCATTGATATCGTTATAATAAAATATAAATATTAAATAATAATGACAAGTTCAATAATTACAAATCGAATTCGATCGGTGAGTGACGATGACGAAGAAATTATTGAATTTCTTATGCGTAGAAATCGACCTCGTGTTTTTCAAAACCGAATTGATCACATCAACAAATGGAATGATACTGAATTTTTCCGAAGGTTTCGGATGAAAAAACCAACTTTTATGTACATTTTGGGAAAGATAGAAAATACATTGTCAACTGCTAAGAGGTAAGATTACACATGTTATACTGTCTCTAGCCTTTACTGTTAGCATTCCTAAGCTTAATGTTCTATTATAGTATATTTTAATACATCTATTATAAATTATAATTAATGTGAAAATGTCTATTTGTAGGATCACTTCAATTACACCAATGCAAAAATTGTTGGTGGCACTAAGGTTTTATGCAACTGGGAATTTTTTAATAACTGCCGGGGAACTCGTTGGAATTAGTGAGCCGTCTGCTTGTCGAATAGTACAGCAAGTGACATATGCTTTAGCAGAACTTCGTCCAGATTGTATAAAAATGCCCCAAAATGTGGAAGAAATACGTCAAGTATCCTACCACTTTTACAAGATTGCAAAAATGCCACGAGTTATTGGAGCTATTGACTGCACCCACATTCGGATAAACTCCCCTGGTATGAAATATTTCTAGTAGCCAGTAGGTATACCTATAGGAAAGAGTGTTGTACTTTGCGACCTTTTTTTAAAACCCTTTCTTGCTCTGAATTCTAAACTACAATATGCAATATACATGTAGGTTGACATTTATATTTTTTAATTTTTACCAAATATTGAAGGTTTACTAACAAAAAATAGTTTATTTAATTTATTAAATTTATAGGTGGTGAAAATGCTGAGTATTTCCGGAATCGCAAGGGCTATTTTTCATTGAATGTCCAAACTGTTGCTGATGCTAATCTTCAAATATTAGATATTGTAGTTCGTTGGCCGGGATCAGTGCATGACCAAACCATATTTTTAAATTCAAAACTCAAGACAGATCTAGAAAATGGTCGGTTTGGAAATAATTTATTAGTGGCAGACAGTGGTTACGCCAATTCTCAACATGTAATCACACCACTTCTACAAACAAATAATAGAGTTGAGGAAATATACAATGAATCATTGATAAGAACGAGAAACGTAGTTGAAAGACAATATGGAGTATGGAAGCGTAGATTTCCAATATTATCTTTTGGATTTCGAATAAAATTGGAAACTACAATGGCCGCAATCGTTGCTTGTGCTGTGTTGTTTAATATTACTCGTACACATGATGGAGAAGAGCCACCAGATGATTATGAAGCGAGAAACTTTATATTGGAACAAGAAGAACCCTCACAAACACCTGTACATGCAAATAGTAATCAACAATTTACTGCTAGGAACAGACTATTAAATGATTATTTTCCTTCATTACTTGATGGTAATGGACAATAGTATTTGATTTATCAGTTTGTCATTTTATAACTCCTTTTTTTTATAAATTTTTACTGGTGTATTTAAAAATAAAATGAATGTGATATAGCTTACAAATTTTTTGTTTTATTAATGTTAATGTTTTCTCTGATTTACCATTATTTTAACTATATAGGTACTTTGCATTTTTCAGTTAATTTTAAAATCTTATAGGTATTAAAAAAAAACAATCTCTTTCATAGTCAATATATTTCATATTAATATGAGAATTTCAGTGTACACATAGTAATATAATAAAAATAAACTTAATATTCAACAAAAAATAAAAACTTTCTTAAGTAATAAATTATAATAAACGTTCTTCGTTATGTTTATAATTAAATATGAAAACAAAAACAAATATGACTGCTTATTAAGTACTGTTAATGTACAAAATAAATTGACTAATCAATATATTTCATATTAATATGAAAATTTCAGTGAACACATAGTAATATAATAAAAATAAACTTAATATTCAACAAAAAATAAAAACTTTCTTAAGTAATAAATTATAATAAACGTTCTTCGTTATGTTTATAATTAAATATGAAAACAAAAACAAATATGACTGCTTATTAAGTACTGTTAATGTACAAAATAAATTGACTAATCAATTAATTAATCAATTAGACAGTAGATTTTTTTAGTAACAATATCTCTAATTCTAATTTCTCGATTTCCAACTTAAGTTTTTTAGTTCGTAGTTGATGTTCAATAGTATCTTCCTGTTCTTTTTTTCCCAATAAATTCAATTCTCTTTCTACAAGTTCTGCCTTTGAGGTACACAAATCATTATAATTAGTCGCCACACTTGAAACTGTTGATTTTTTTTTTTTAGAAAAATGAATCCGTGTTTGCTCTAGAGAGCTTGATTCTAAAACATAATAATTAGACAAAAGTAATGAATAATTTTAATGAACTATACATTTCATCAAAGAATTGTTTACTTTTAAATAATGATGCGCTGGAGGTTGGTAGTTGATCCACAACAATGTCTGTGCTTATTTTACTCTTTAGTTCTTTTGGCTTTCCAGTCTGTAGCATTGTAGCATTATAATCACTAAAATTTACTCGTATGGTGTCTGTCGGATCTATCAAATAATATAAAATCATTTATAATATTTTTAAGCATCAAACTTAAACCAAATTTAAAAAATAGTATTTCTTACTAGTAGGTGAATTATTATCTAATATATTTTCCTCTAATATTGATGGATCATCTATTTCTTCCATCATGATGGAAAAATCTAATTCCTCAGTACTTTTTAAATCTAGAAAATATTATTGTTATTCAACTTCAATAACATTTCTAATAGAATAACATTGTACTTATATGACTGCTATCTGAGTCAAATTGGCAAATTAACCCATCAGAGCTGAGTTTTATATTTTGATGCAACTGTTCCAAAGCAGGGCTTAATTTTACCTCACTTATGAATGGACCTCCACCAGTACCAGTAACATACTTCTTTTGTTTTGCAACCGATTTCCTCACTTCTTTTTTCATTGAATCATATTTTGATCTGAGGTTTTTAATAGATCTGGACTAAAAAAATGAATAAAATTAAACTAGTATTTGGATACTTATAATATATTTAGCAACATATTGATTTTTACGATGGGTAAATACCTGACAGAAAGTTTGTACACCAGATTACTGATTTCAATGATTATACCTATGATTACCCATGATTTACTACAAAGATTACCTATGTTTTCCCATGAATACCAATGATAACCCATGAATACCAATGATTACCCATGATTACCATCACCTTATGTACACTGATTACCCCCAAGGTGTTTACCCCTTGGATTTTTAAATTAGTTTTCTTTATCAACGTAAAAAGTACTAGAATATCGCTAACATAGTTTTACATTTTCATATTATTATGTTTTTTACCATTTTATTAGTGAATTATTGATGTATTTGTATAAAATTGAATCATAAATAATAAATAAATAACATTTTGTTTTCAAAGTAACTCTCCTCATATATGGACTGAACCAAAGTAAGAAATAAATATATCTTGCATACCCTAAGCAAGACATCTTCAATGATTATGTGATGATGTTGCAATAATTGTAGGTAGTTCAAATTTTAATCAGGTATACAATTAAGATATTAAATTCCTCATCAATATCAATTAAAAAAATTGTTAAATGAGTTTTAAAAATAAAGTATTTTAACCTATTTTAATAGAACTTTTACAACATTTCAATTTATACTTCTTATTAGACACCTTTACCACCCACACTTTTGTACTATTATAAACAATACTTACTGGACCATCGGTTGTAGAATTAAATTGTGTATGGATTTTTTCCCAGGCCAAAATTTTTTCCTTCCACGTAACCGCATTGGTTGTTTTATTTTCCAATATTTTTTTGTTTGTGTTGCATAAATGCAACAATAAATCAATTTCTGCATTGGTAAAATTGCTTTCCCGCTTTCGCTCGGACATACTTTTCGATGAAACAAAACGAAAAAACTAACTTCGACAAAAATAAATTCCAGACAAGTTTTATTTTACGTTGTTACCGAGGTTGTTACTTATTGCCTGTTCAGTATTAACCGTAAACCGGTACAATACTATTTACTAATTAAAAATTTGATTGTATAAAAAAGAAATTTGTTGTTATCACAATTAAAATGATATAAATCATGGAAGATTAGACAATCCTCCTAGATAAAATCAATATGTTCTGGTTAACTATCTTAGAGATAAAAACTCCTTCAGAAATTGAAGCTCATAGCGTTTTCCACCACTCTGCACCGTTGCACCACGGTTGCACTCAGACAGTTCACTGATAGCTCACTGATAACCATACCAGTGCAGGCCGGTGCAAGTGTAGATGAAACATAACCTCGTTATCATTTTCACACTATGGCAGCTGATAATGAATAATGACAATGATTTGGAAAAACCCGCGCTTCAATTATTATTTATTAATTTCAAATTGTCATTTGAATTTTGAGTCTTCAATCGTATATTCGTATGTAGTAGCCGTAGGCCGAAGCGTAGGTACTCAGAATCTACGGTCTACTTTAGTACTGCCGTCTGCTACTGCCTACTCTACTATAACTATTCTACGTTTCAAATTGTCAACTTGTATAATTATAAAATGACCACTCATAATTTACAAATCGATATCGACGGTCAATTGTTGGGCCACAAAACGTTTTTGTTCAACGTGGAAGAATCTGCTTTAGATTATATACAGCAAGCTGGTAAGCATATTTCATAATGCATATTATATTTTACTACGGCTAAATAATCCTCATAGTTGCGATTGCTAAAAAGTTAAGCTGTTCTGCTCATGTACAATTAATTAATTTGGGTAAGTCAATAGTGGGTAATAAGGATATCTACCTATCCAGGTAGTATTATTATAACAAGGAAATATTTTCAAGGGCCAAACAATCTGAAAAATAATTAGATTGCTTCGCATGCATTACATATTGAATATAATAACTTAAGTAAAAATAGAATGTTGGCAGGTTCTCATTATTTTATTTTTTTTCTACTTAACTAACAGCAAAAATACAATAATATTAATCATAGGCGGTACAAGACAAATATTTTTGGGGGTGCATAAACAGTAAAGAATTCTCAGACCCCAGATCCTTAACACTGTATATTATACAGAATATTTTTTAAACATGCTCTACCCCATATTTTACTTTAATAATACATTTATTCCAATTATGGTTTTTAGAATTTTTAAGTATACCCCAAGACTGTATTTTCAAGTTTCTGATATTTTTTGAACTACTCAAGGAGTATTTTGTGGCGATACAAACATGTTTCATACTAAGGATAATAATCCTTAAATATAGTTTTTTCATAAATATAGGTAAGATAGCTGGTATGTGTAATGTTAGATGTAGTACTTATCCATTATACTTATATAATTTTTACAAATTATTTATATTGATAGATCATTAGTTATTACTAGAATGTTCAAATCATCTATGGTCCAAATCTATTCTACCCATTACTATAGACAATATTATCCTTAGAACACAAAAATGTATAACTCATAATCTACTCTTTCGAATTCTGATTTAGATAGATAGGTACATAAAAATTCTCAGCTGAATAATTAAAAGTGAAAACCCCCGTAAATATGGTTAAGTCTATTTCTGTTAGTTCAGACATCAAGACAGCATGGTCTATTTCTGCTCTCTCAAATTACCTAAATCAGCAATGTCATTACAATTATTTTTATTTAGTTAAGGGCTTTTTTACTCTGGCCGACTTGAACTAGTGTGGAACAACTTGAAACTAAAAGTTCTAGATCATTAATTTCTTGTAAGGAATTTTTTGTTTTTTTTTTAATACTAAAGGTAGGTACTATAGGTCTTAATATTTGTTTAATATTTATTATTAAGTATGATAAAATATTGGTAGTAATATAAAATTTGAAATATTCAATGAGACCTGTAGAATATTAACCTCTAGTAGTTAAAAAAAAAATTATCAAATATAGTTGATTCTACAAGACAGGATTATTATTAACAGTCATTAATCATTTTAATTATACAAAAAAAATTGTGTAGCACTGAGGACCTAGCCCCCCTCCGACATACACGAGGGCCTACAGGGAAAATTCCCTTTTCAGTATAGGCCTTTATTCACCTTTGAGGGAAATATTTACTTAATTTTTATGATCTAATAATTGATTATCATTTAGGTAGTAATGATTGTATTCCAAGTATAGTCGAATTTTTAACAAATTGTGTGCAACAAGGTGTTATTCAACTTAATGTGGAAGAACTTGTTAAAGATGTTCAATTTACAGTTTCAATTCCTAAGAGGTAAATTAGATTTATTTTATGATTTATAATGACTTATATTTATATAAGATTTTAACACATCTTATTTATCTATTATTCACAACAAATAAGTACTCTCCACATCCTCTCCTAACCAGAAAAGCTTTGTTTAAAATTTTGTATGTAGCTTTCTTTTACATTTTAACATAGACATTAACAATGTGGGGCACCGCCCCTCTCTATGACTCAAACAGGACAATGTTCCCAGAGTTGCCCAAGTTACACCCATACGTTTTATTATGCCTAATTAAAAAATATTTTTAATTAATAAAGAAATGTGAAAATTAACATACTGTATTTATATTGTTCTAGAAATATAAACTTCTGTAATTTAGCTAAGTCAGTAAATGTTAAAGATGATCAGTGTAGTCAGGCTATTGATTGGCATAACATTAGTGATGTCAACGAAGAATCTGAATTTGAAAATGAAGAAGTGGACAAACCCAATAAAAAAACTAATGCTACGACTACTACAGTTGAATGTTCCAATGAAACTTCTCAAAAAATCCAGAGTACAGTAGATTTTAAGCGAATACTATTTTATTTTAATTCTGTGTTAAACAATATGTATGTTGGGTTTTAGATGAAAAAGAAGCTGTACACCAAGTTATTTTCACTGATGGTATGACCAAGTTTATGCTGGAAAAGTACGGACAGCTTATGAATTTTATTGGTCCGATGAAGAAATTTAAAAGAAAACTAGATATGTGGAAACAAATAGCTAAAGATATGGAAGAAGAACTTGGTGTAAAATGTACACATACACAGATTGAAAATCGTTATAAAACCGTGAGCAAGAGAAAAAAAGTAATTGTTAATAATAACAAAAGTACAGGCGCAGCTAGAATGGATGATGAATATGAAAATGAATGGAAACAAATAACAAATAAGGACGATAGCATTATTCCAGAAGTCATGCGAAGTACAAAGGTTGTTGTTATTAATAAAAAGGATATTACAGAATCTAAACCAAAAAAAATGAAAACCGATAGCTCACAATTGATGTTGTTAAAATTTCTAAAGGAAAAAGAGGAATCTAAAGAAAGGCGCCATCAAGAAAAAATGGAGCTCATAAGATCAATTTTAAATAAATGAGTATTTATTTTTATGTATGGATTATCAGCTAAAACTGTTGAATAATGTTATGATTTTAAGCACTAGTCGTTACTCGTTTTATATTGTTTTATTTTAAAATTTCAAACAAGTGGTTTTTTTTTTTATAATTTTGTTATTTTCTCTTATAGTTTTTCATGGATTATTATTTATTATACATAAATATGAAATAAATAAATTGTTATTAATAAAAAAAAAAATGTTTACTGTAGTATATTGTTACACATAATATTTTATGTAAGACTGAATATTATTATAATTATAATTATTACTAACATTTAATTTATATACAATTTTTTTATTGATATTGCATGCTATTTTTTATAGCATCTCGTTTCGTTTCACCATTTTTTTTTAGTAACATATCAGTTTCAAACACTGTGTCGTCAGGTCCATTGAGTAATTCTTCATTTTCTTCATCTCTCAATTCAATATGGTCATCCATATCTATACATAAATTATGCAGTACACATGATGATATTATGAATTTAGTTATCTTGTCGACAGAATGTATATCCAACTGCAAAAGTTGCCTAAAGCGGGACTTGAGAAGACCGAATGTATTTTCAATCAGCACTCTAGTGGAACTTAATGTTTTATTAAATGTTTTCTGTGATTCAGTTAATCTTCCATAGTCTTTGTACGGTACAAGTAGCCATTCTCGAATAGGATATGCTCCGTCACCAAGTAAATTGTACTTCTTTTCACACATTGATGGTAGATCTTTACTTAAATCAGATAAAACAAATACTCTGGCATCGTGGATCTTTGCGGGTATTCCAGTAAATACATCGATAAATTTTTTTTTGTAATCACACACTCCTTGTAGTGTAATCGATGGCATGTCATGCCTATTTGTATAAGTGCTTTTAATTTTGTGAGCTGGTGTTCGAATAGGAATAGATGTTCCATCGATGCATCCAATGACATGAGGCATTCCAGACACCTAAGCATAAAAAAAAAATTTGCTCTGCTGTACAGTAGGTTACAAGTGGGTCACTGTATAATGGATGGTATTAAATTTGAATTCAATGATATAATATCATTGTATAAGAAAAACGATTCTGAGCGGAGACGGTATGTCAGTCTAGGTATAAGATATATTATGTACTTATCTATGGTAGGTATAAAAAAAAAATTGACTTATAATAAAATCCAAATTGATCACCAAATTTCAAAATATTTTCACGTACCTACTTATAGAAAATGCTAATAGTATAAGCATTTGGTAAAAATGTCAAGTATCTACAGTTATTTTATTATTTTGAATTACAACAAAATAAATATTGATTGAGGAGAAATAGTATAATTTAGAGGGAATAACCAAAATCAAAAAAATATCATCTTCAAACTCTTATAAGAAATTAATGTAGTTTTCGGTTAATATTTCCTGTTATAGTTAGAAAAATATATAAAGAATATTATATTAATTTTTTAAATCTTAAATGGGAATAAAAAGAAAACATTTTATGAATTTGTAACTCAAAGTAACATGTATTTTTTTAAATTAAT